ACATTTTACAGCAGGCAACCACGTACTTGGTAAAATCTGGCCTGACCAAAGTAAAAAGCTATAGCACCTGCCCAAGAGACTGCAATTAGTGACCACATTTTTCCTGCCCCACTCTTCTTATCACTGTCCTCCCAAAGGATGCAGACAGGGAGAAAACCAATAGAAACAAGTACCTTAGACGGGGAGACAGAGACAGCCCACAGCCACTGATGATGTTACTCTAACCTCTGCCTTGTATAGATAATGACAGAAAGGACCCAAATTTGCAATGTTGACTCACAGAAGACCCCCTCCTTCCTCCTGGAGCAAGTCCTGATTACAAACCTCCATCCTGGGGCTGGGAAGGTGGCTCAGTGGTAGAGCACTTGCCTTGCATGCATGAGGCCCTGGGTTCGATTCCTCAGCATCACATAAGCAAAAAGAAAAAAGCCGGAAGTGGCGCTGTGGCTCAAGTGGTAGAGCTCTAGCCTTGAGCTGAAGAGCTGAGGGACAGCGCCCAGGCCCAGAGTTCAGGCCCCAGGACTGGAGGCAAAAAAACAAAAACAAACAAACAAACAAAAAAACCTCCATCCTGGCCAATTAGAAAGGGTACCCCGAAGATGTCCTTGAGAAGACAAGGAGCCTGGGTAGTACCTGGAGCCAGAAGCAGATTTTTGTTTGAAGGAGCAGTTTCAAGGGGGAGCAGAGGGCACCGGAAATGCCCCCTGGTGTTACTTGGGAAGGTTTATATCCTAAGATTTGACCAAGGCTTCTTAGCAGACCATTCGTGGGGCATGGGGAAGTCAAAGGTGGTGTGGGAAGGCAGAAACTCTTAAGAAACCAAGTCAGCAAAAAGAAAGGCAGCAAGGAGTTCCAGACTCCTCCCCGCTCTCCAGGAGGGAGCAGGGAGGGCGAAGTGAGAGACACCATTACTAGATAAAGGAGACAGTCCTGGTAACAAACTGCTAACTCTAGCCCCACACGCCCCCCAAAGCTATATTCTCAGTACAGGGACTGGTGAGACAGGTGGAAGGAAGGCTAGGATTGACTAAAAAGGTCTTTATCACTTCTCACCTCAGAGAAGCCCAGTCAAACACCATCTTGAGATAGTGTCTACTTCCTACTGCAGACTGGAGGCCTGAGATGAGGTACAATTGTGGTGCTTGTAGTCTCTGGAAGTGACTGGGTCACAAGATGCTGAGACAGGACCCTGCGGAGAGGTTGGGGCTGTGGAAGTACACTGGCAGCAGAGGCTTCACAGCACGGGTGAGAGAGGCCTGCAGCAGAGATGATCTGGGTGTGGAGATTACCCACCTCAGTCCTGGCACAGAGAAGTTACTGAGAAGACAAGGACAGTGTGGAGGAGCGCAGGCATGGCTGAGAACTGGCAGAGGTGGCTTGAGAGGCAGCCAGGAAGCTGAAACCCCTTTTTTTTTGTTTTTGTGCTGGTGTGGGTCTTCAACTCAGGGCCGGAACCATGTCCATGAACTTTTTTGCTCAAGACTAGCACTCTACCACTTGAGCCACAGCTCTGCTTCCAACTTATAAAATTTTTTGGTGGTTAATTGAAGGTAAAGAATCTCACAGGGGCTGGGAAGGTGGCTTAGTGGTACAGTGCTTTCCTTGCATGCATGAGGCCCTGGGTTCTATTCCTCAGCACAACATAAGCAGAAAAAGCTGCAAGTGATGCTGTGGCACTAGCCTTGAGCTGAGGAGCTGAGGGACAGCGCCCAGGCCCCAAATTCAGGCCCCATGACAAAAACAAAAAAAACAAAAACCTCTCAGATTGGTCTATCAAGGCTTGCTTCAAACCAGAACCTGAGATCATCTCAGCCTCTTTAGTTGCTAGATTACAGACATGACCCAGCAGCACATGGCTATTGTTTTGTATATGTGTTTATCTATCCAGGTCTCTCAATTTCTCTGTCTCCCTCCATCCCTCAGCACAATGTTAGTTAGGTCTTCTCCCCTTATCTTACTCTTTTTTTTGTTAGTTGTGGGGCTTGAAGTCTAGGCTTAGGCGCTGTCCCGGGGCTCCCTTTTGCTCAAGGCGAGTGCTCTACCACTTGAGCCACAGTGCCACTTCGTTTCTGGTGGTTAATTGGAGATTAAGAGTCTCATGGACTTTCCTGCCCAGGCTGGCTTTGAACATCGATCCTCAGATCTCAGCCTCCTGAATAGACAGGATTACAGGCGTGAGCCCCTGGTACCCGGCTACTTTTTTCTTATATAGCCACACAGCTTGTCATCTCCCCTCTCGCCTTCCTGTCAGCACCCTAGTTAACTAAGTTCTTCCTAGATCATGAAGATACATCAATTTTTCCATATTCTTCTGAAGATACTAAAACTGTGGAGGTGCTTGGTCTTCATTAAGGATGACTACAAACATAGGTGGTGCTTTATCACTTGCAGTATCTTGCAATCAAGCTTCCTCAACCTGAGTGAGGAAAGTCTGTACATGTTGAAGTTGAATGTTTGATAACTGGGCCCCACTCTTCTAGTATGACAGGAAAGTGCACCACAACCTGCCACAGACCACTCTTAAGCCATCTCTGAGGAATCACTAACAAAAAGGACACAGGAGACTGAAAGTTCCACCTAGAACTAGGCCACAGAGTTGTACATTCCAGTAAAATAAACCACAAAATTCAAGAATAAACAAGATGTCACCTTCAATGCCAACTCCACAATAGAGGACTTAAATGACAATGAAGTAATGAAATTTCAGACAATAAATTTTAAAAAAAGGGCAAATGACCAATGAAGCTTAGGAGATGTATAAGCACCTAAATGAATTCAGAGATACAAGTAGATGAGCTCAAAGAGAATTCAAACAAATAGCCGGATGAAATAAAAGACAACGCAGGATACAAAAGAGGAACTCAATGACAATACAGAAATCTTGGGTGGGGAGGGGGAGAACAAACTGAATGTTGGCTGGGAATATGGCTAGACAAGCATGCATGAAGCCGTGGGTTAGATTTCTCCGTACCACATAACAGAAAAAGCCGAAAGTGGCACTGTGGCTCAAGTGGTAGAATGCTAGCCTTGAGCAAAAGAAGCTCAGGGCTGAGGGGGTAACAATACTCTATAGGAAATGTACTCACTACCTTACTCATGTAACTGTAACCCCTCTGTATAGTATCTTTTGAATTAAAAAAAAAAAAAAAGCTCAGGGCCAGTGCCCAGGTCCTGAGTTCAAGTCCCAGGACTAGCAAAAAAAAAAAAAAAAGGAACAGAAAAGTAAACATCGGAAGAAAAGGAAAGTTAATATTCTCAACTAATTAAAAGAACTAAGTTAAACTAAAAAGCAAAACCTGATCATTTGTCTATAAGAAACAAATCTTAGCTGATAGTTCATGCCTGTAATTCTCATTACTTAAGAGGCTGGATCTGAGGATTGTGGTTTGAAGCCAGCCTGGGCAGCAAGGTTTATGAGTCTTTTTTTTTTTTTTTTGGGTCCGGTCGCGGGGCCTGAACTCTGGGCCTGGGCGCTGTCCCTCAGCTCTTCAACTCAAGGCTAGCACCCAACCACTTGAGCCACAGTTCCACTTCCGGCTTTTTCTGCTTATGCGGTGCTGAGGAATGGAACCCAGGGCCTCATGCATGCAAGGCAAGCGCTCTACCACTGAGCCACCATCCCAGCCCCTTTATCTCTTTAAGCCCCCCACCCCACTCCCACCTTTTTTTGAGCATGTGTTACTCAGGCGAGCCCAGAACTCCCGGGCTCTGTAGGCGCACTTCCCCAGGTATGGAGGACTAGCTCTACGTGCAAGAGACAACTTTCCTAGAGGAACAGACTGGAAGTTTGTCGGGAGGCAACTTTAAAAAATGAAAGGAAAAAGACCAAGACAGAGAGGACGCACAAAAACACAGCATTTTATTGCACCAAGGTCTTGGCAATGCCTGGGGCTCCCCAGGCCTTGAAGAGGAAGTACATAGGGCAGGGACTCCTGTGCCCACCAACAACATGGAACATGGGGAGGGGCGGGTGGGGCGGGGCACTGCTCTCTGAGCAGTCCAGACCACCTCCACTGCCAAGCACAGCTAAGTCAAAACTGGATTCTCACCCCCCAAATGACTATTAGAGAAGCTTGCGCTACTTTAATGTGTTTATATATGTACATAGCATGGGGAATTCAGACGGTTTTCTGGGCCCTATCCTGCCTAGCCCCTGGCTGGCTGTAACAAACAGTGGAAGCCGGCTTCCCATTGCCCTGCTCTCTCATGATGCCTTCTCCCTAGTACACAATCTAGCAGAGCCAGGAGGAGGATGATTTGGAGAAAAGAAGGGAGGGAAAGAAAGGAGGTCAATTCTGTGCTAGTGGACATTTCGACTATAGAACATCACAGAAAAAAATACGGCCAGGAAACAAGTTCATACAGGAACAAGTGTCAACACCTCAAGAGGAAAAGAAAAGCCCTGCCTAGGAAGGCACCTGCTTCCCTCCCACGATGAGAATTCGAGGCCATCGCATGCCCCCCTGGGCTCCTACCTGCAGCCACTCTGAACCCTGTCCCCATGAAGGCTCACTGTATTCTGCTGGAAGAACTGGCCCGCATGCCAGGCAATGGAATTACCAGTCCCTCCCACCCTCATCTAAAGGGAAATACAGAAACAGGAAGGAAAACCAAAGAGAACCACCACCATGAAAAGACTAAATGCATCTTCTCACGTGAACAACGGAGCTCTTCCTTCTACCTCAGTAACAAGGGAAACCTGAGGAGGGCAGCAGTGACAAAGTAGAATGGGCAATGCCCAAGAGAGGTGCACAGAGCCCTAGGAAGCAGGAGCCATGTCCTGTGGGGTAGACCTCCTGCACCTCAGCCCTTGGAGAAACCACCATCACCGACGGCTGATGTATAGGACAGTCTAAGTCTGCAGGCACAGCTTGAGCAGGATAAAAAAAGGACTCTCCTTGAGTCATACAATCATAGAGATTCAAAAGCACTCACAAAATTGAGCAAACAAAGCCAGTATTTGCATATTAGGAAAACACATTGCTACTGGAAGCCACAGGCCTGGTCAAAAATAAATGCTTTATATTAAGTAGTAAAATAACGGAGAGTCCACCCCCATGCGCCACCTCCGCAGGGAGCCGTGGGTTATTGCAGCTTTAAGGGGAGCTCCGCAGTCATCAGAATAGATAGCAGCCTTCAAAGCGGGGGCATTGGCACACAGTTTCCAGGGCTCCTCTGCCCTACCTTCTCAGGAAGCGATGCACTGAACAAGAAGTGGCAGGGCGGGGTGCATGGGGCTTCCTTTCTGCCCTAACAGTAAGGCATACACAGCCCCTCGCCCTGTGGGTAGGGCGCAGGCAGGGCAGGATGCAGGATGAGGCAGTCCCCACCTCAGGGAACAAGGGACAGTTCACCAGAAAGAGCTACCAAGCATATGCCTACCACCTGAGCAAAAGATGTGCTGGAGACACCGCCTGACTCTTCTGCTCTGACAGCCCCCGACCAGTGGTAGAGGCTTTGTCACACAGACTCCACTGTCCATGATGCTTGGCCTTCCAGGTCCTCATGGGTGGCTGCCAGTTCTTTGTGTGAATGTCACTAGAGGTCCTGAGCTGCAGAAGCCACATGATCTCTATGTAGGGTCAACTGGAGACTGTGGTTCCTGAGCCCTCACTGTGACAGCTCACAGTGCAGAGGTGACTGGGCAGCGAGGCCCACATGAGACCGCACTCCAGATCTAGATGGACAGCACCCATGATATAGAATACGACCGCTCTAGGAGGCTACAGGAACACTGATCCTCCAGGTGAGAAGAGACTCGCATCCTCACTGCCACCCTCAGTGGTCCACATAGGACACCAGCACATGGCATCCTGAAGAGCTGAAAGATACAATAGTCACCTCTACAAGTCGTTAGTACACATCACAGACCACACATCAATAGGGACACATACCACACATCAGACACACATGGGCAGACCTATACACACCACAAATCAAGAGAAACACATCACAGACAGACTCACACACACCACACATCAGACTCACAACACAGACCCACATACACCACACATCAGACAGACACAGACACACATACCACACAGCAGACACACACACCACATACATACCACAGACAGACCCACATGCACCACACATCAGACACACAAAGACCTACACAACACATATCACAGACCCCCACACACATATCACACATATACACCACACATCAGACTCACACACCACACAGACCCACACACCACACACATATTGGACACATACACTCAACAGACACACCACACACCATACCCACACGCCCAGTGCTCTGCTGGCTCCTTCCTGCATACAGGTATACACGTCCCTGCTCCCCTGAAGTCCTATCTTGCCCATGGCAATGAACTGAACAAACGTGAAGGACCAAGCTGGGATACACACCACAGACCCATACACCACACATCAGACACACATACCACAGACACACACATACCTCAAAGACACATCACAAACACACACATATCAGACACACTCAACACAGACAGATCTACACACATCATGGACACATCCACCATATTCATGTATTATAAGGCATATTCATGCATTATAAGCCACAAACACACACCATAAACAGATCCACATAGTACAGTTTTCTCTCTCACACACACCCCCCCCCAGACATAGACACACCAGACACACACATAGCCATGTCACATGTGCACATCAGAAACAGACATGTGCTCATACATTAGACACAACAGACACCCACACACACACCATATATGCACATGCCAGATACAGCAGATATACACATATACAACAGACGTACCAGATCCTCAGAGTACACACCCACCAGACAGACACCAACCTGATAAATACACATCTACCATATACTAGACACAGACACCCAGCCAATATACATACCCACACCACAGACACCCACCCCTGAGACATACACACATCCCACTCATCCCCCACACCCACACCCAGGATAAACACACCATATACACACATCCCATAGGTAGTACATTTCAGAAATAACACATACACACAAATAGCACAGTTAAACATTTTACATCTGAACTGACCTATTTGTCAGCAAAGGGCTCAGAGACGATGGCTAAGACTGACGGCCTTGGCTGGATGAGTCACAGACCAAAAATTACGTCTACTCTGAAGCTTCTGAAATGCATTGAAGTTTCTCTTCTTTTCTCTCTTGAATTTCTTCATTTTCTTTTCCTACATCAAGAATCAGGTGTCTCAATTCCCAGAAGGGCTTCTGCAGTGCTCTGCTGGCTCCTTCCTGCATACAGGCATACACGTCCCTGCTCCCCTGAGGTCCTATCTGGCCCATGGCAATGAACTGAACATACGTGAAGGACCAAGCTGGGATGGGAACCCCTGGCTCACCCCAGCCTCTTCACTACTGCTTTGAGACACAGGTGCACTAACAAATGCACTAAAAGCCCATATTGCCTTTTCCCTCAGCCCACGCTATACCACGCATACCTGCAGTGTTTTTGTCAAGCCCAAGGGCACACCCACATACCTTCCCTCGATCAAACTCTTCATCCCAGTCATCAACCACAGTCTGGGTCCGGGCCAGTCTGCTGTCTTCCATGGCGTCCTGACTGACAGCAGACAGCTCACCGTCCCAGGTCAGAACTGTGCAACATATTCCTAACGTCAGGTACCTGGGCTTCCCAGCTAGACCCACCACTCCCAAGACTCCTTTGGGCTGCCTTTTGGCAGAATCAGATATGCGGAGGGCCTAGGATGTCAGTGACCCAAGTGTGCAGAAGAGACAACGTGGAGGACATGGGGCCAGTGGCATCTCCTTCTCAGGGAATCCCTTCCCTCATTTGAGATATAAAGGGTCATGCACATTCTCAAAGTCTAACTTATAAAGTAAGTATCCAAGTCAGAGTTGTCAGTACAGTGCTGGGGAGACTGTCCACCTTGCCCTGCTCCCCTGAACCTTACCACTCTGCCCCGCTCCTGGACTCAGAGAAAGTGTTCTGCATCTCCCTGTTGACTAAACTCACCTCATGCAGTGGCTAACTCTGTGGGAGGTTAGAGGACTCAACAATCATTGAGATCCTCTTCCTGTGTTTAAAACTGGGCAGTGCCCGCACTCCACACTCATTGTCAACCAGGGCCCATTTCTCTTCATTTTCAAAATAAGCTCTCCATGGAACACAAGAGTCCTTCCCAGAGCCGTACCTTTCCTCCCATAGGCCTTATCGGATGAGTATTTAAGCAATTCCTGGACTACGTCAGATTCTCGATCTCTGTTGCAGGGCACAAGTGGAGCTTGTCCCACTCCTAAAATCAGAGTAGCCAAAACATAAGCATCGAAAATCAAACACAGTGGAATCAATCACCTGCCTCTCACCACAAAATTGCAGAACTCACACTAAATGCTTATTCAGTAGCAATGATTTTACCCAACAGAAAGGGATCTGTCCAGTCAATTCTTGAAAACAAGAGTCCTGGTCTCATGGAGGGAACAAGCTGTATATCTACCACACCAGTCAGAAACAGCATGCTACATTCAGGCCTTAAATGTTCCCTCTACCCTCCGTGGCTGGGAGGCTGTCACCAAAAGGCACTACTGGAAGGTGGTTGAACCTTTAAGAGGTTACCTTCTGAGCACTGAGGTCTTGCTCTTGAAGGGGACAGGAGACCTTCCAGCCCTCCCATTTTTTTTTCCCTTCTCTGGCCATAAGGTGAACAGCTTTTCTTTTTTTGGGGGCGGGGGGGGAGGGGCGGTGTCTGGTCGTGGGGCCTGAACTCTGGGCCTGGGCGCTGTCCCTCAGCTCTTCCGCTCAAGGCTCTACCACTGGAGCCACAGTGCCACTTCCGGCTTTTTTCTACCCCAGCTCCTGCAGTGCTGCTCTACCACAGGCCCAAAGCAACGAAGCACACAGACTTGGAAGTATAAGTTTAAAACCACAAGCCAGCCAGACACACACCTTTCCTAAGTGGATCTTCAAAGGTGTTTGTTACAGTGGCAGAATGCTGCCTAGCTCAAGCTAGGATGTGGGCAGTGGAGTGCTACTAGGACAGCCACCGCCGGGGGCTCCCAATGCCCCCCATGTCCTCACCCAGGTAGTCCCGAGATGGACGAGTGCTTATGTTCAACTCGGGCTCTGTGGTGATTATGGGCCTCGGGCTCTTCCAGCCTTCCGGGGACTCACTGTCCTCTTCTTCCTGCTGTGACTCATGCTTTCTTTTTCTCCTTTTCTTTTTCCTTGGAGACTCTGCCCTGGTCCCAGGCTCCCTGTGCTCTGTGGGGGAGCAGCTGCTGAGAGTGAAAGGAAATAGTTAGTCCTCAGAGGGCCTATACTCTCACCAACTCGTCCATCTGCTTAAGCCTTCAGCCAGTGTGGGCCAACAGGTGGCTTTGCCCTTAATCACTCCACAGTGGGCTTAGGGAAGTGGGTAGGGTGTCACATGACCAAGCAGGACAGCTCCTGCATGTACACATCCTGAGCACCCAGACCCCCTTGTCCACAGTGATGGGTCCATGGCCACACCCATGTACCACTGTGGTGCAGGTTAGTGCACTGTGTCTCCGGAGAGCCCACCTTTTACTTCTGCATTCCAGCTGGGGCTGAGCCCTGCTCTTACCTGTGCTGAGGTGGGTCCCGACGGAGGCCATCTTCAATGAGTCCCTCCGGTCCTGTCTTCCTCCTTTTCCTGCTACTTATGTGGTGGCCATCAAGGACATGACTCACTGGATGGCCATTCACCCGTGGCTGTGTGCCTTCTGTCTGCACACTGCCTGGCCATTCTGGCCAGCCCTTTGTCTTGCCCTTGGGGCTCCCAGGGTGCTCCCATGTCCGCTCTTCCTGCAGGGTGGCCACAGCTGCAGAGTCGAGGCACTTCTTCCTTTTCTTCCTCCTGCGAGGCCGATCAGCTGCTCCCCTGAGGTACTGTAGGAGGTGTGCCTCTGAGCCCGGCCCCTGTGGCTCTCCCATGAGGGTCTTCTTCTTCTTCTTCTTCTTAGAGGGGCTTTGAGGGCCCTTGCTGGTCTCCAGCAGCTGGTGTGATAGGGGCATGAGGTCTCCATTGACCTGAGGCAGGGCAGTCCAGGTGGGGGGGTGGGCCTGTGGCTCAGGGGTCCCTGGGGGTTGGGGACCACTACTGGACAATGATGCTGAAGAGGGGCTGACAAGAGGCTTCAGTAGGTGAAATGATTGGGGAGCAGGTGACACAGCCCTGTAGGGACATCAGGGGACAGGAAGATCATTATAGAGGACACATGAAGAGCTCTTTCCCTCTGCCAACCTTCAACCCACCTCCACTTAGTTACAATTTTGTATTTTTTTTTTAGGAGAAAAGAGAGCTCTTACCTAAGAAAATTTAAAAAGCTTGTTTTTCCTCTATAATTCTTTTTTTTTGGGGGGGGGAGGGGGGTCTGGTCGTGGGGCCTGAACTCTGGGCCTGGGCGCTGTCCCTCAGCTCTTCAGCTCAAGGCTAGCGCTCTACCACTTGAGCCACAGCACCACTTCTGGCTTTTTTCTTTTTGCTTATGTGGTGCTGAGGAATCGAACCTCATGCATGCAAGGCAAGCACTCTACCACTGAGCCACCTTTCCAGCCCCTCCTCTATAATTCTTAAGCCACAAATTATATGTATGTTTGAAAACAGACTAACACAGTTCAAAGTCTATTAAAAGTTAACAAGCACAAGCCAGGCCCTGGTGGCTCACGCCTGTAATCCTAGCTACACAGGAGGCTGAGATCTGAGGATCGCGGTTCAAAGCCAGCCCGGGCAAGAGAGACTGTGAGACTCCTATCTCCAATAAACCACCAGAAAACCGGAAGTGGCGCTGTAGCTCAAGTGGTAGAGCACTCGCCTTGAGCTGAAGAGCTGAGGGACAGCGCCCAGGCCCAGAGTTCAAGCCCCACGACCGACCAAAAAAATAAATAAATAAATAAAAGTTAACAAGCACTGCATGTCTTAGCTTTTGTGACCACACAGTTGTTTTAAATTTTGAATTCAAATATATTAAGATAGAGAGCTGGGCACCAATGGCTCACTCCTGTAATCCTAGCTATGAGGCTGAGATCTGAGGATCGTGGTTCAAAGCCAGCCCCGGCAGGAAAGTCCATGAGACTCTTATCTCCAATAAACCACTAGAAAACCGGAAGTGACACTGTGGCTCAAGCAGCAGAGCGCTCACCTTGAGCTGAAGAGCACAGGGACAGCGCCCAAGCCTAGAGTTCAAGCCCCATGACCAACAAAAACAAAAACAAACCAAAAAACAGATCAAGTGTAAGTAATAAACATTCAAGAAAAAAAAACAACAGGAAATTCATGTGGGATTTGGTTTCTCACACAAGTGATCCCAGCTACTAGAGAGGTGGGATCAGGAGGGTGGCGGCTTGAAGTCAGCCTAGGCAAAAAGGTCACAACAATCAAAAGCCAGGCCTGCTGGCAAGCACCCATTATCACCATTATGCTGGATACATAAATAGAAGGATCAGGGGCTGGGAAGGTGGCTCAGTGGTAGAGCGCTTGCCTTGCATGCATGAGGCCCTGGGTTCAATTCCTCAGCACCACATAAGCAAAAAGCCGGAAGTGGCGCTGTGGCTCAAGTGGTAGAGTGCTAGCCTTGAGCTGAAGAGCTGAGGGACATAGCATCCAGGCCCAGAGTTCAGGTCCCATGACCGGACCCCCCCCCCAAAAAAAAGAGGATCACAATATGTAACAGGCTAGCCTGGGCATTAAATATGAAAACCTATTCAAAAAAACAAGAAAAACAGCTCATGCCTATAATCCTATCTACTCAGGAGGCTGAGATCTGAGGATCTCAGTTTGAAGCCAGCCTAGGCAGGGAAGTTCAATTGAACACCAAAAAGCTAGAAGTGGAGCTGCAATTCAAGTGGTAGAGCACCAGCCTTAATGAAAAAGCTCAAGAGACTATGCTCAGGCTCTCAGCTCAAGCCTGGAACTGACACACGGCACATGTATAAGTGCATGCTATGCAAGCACGCTCCCACAAACACACACAGCAACAAGGGCTAGAGGTGTGGCTCCTCCTGCCTGACAAATGCAAGTCCTAAGTTCAAACCTCAGTGCCCTCCTTCTCCCCCCAAAATAGGTAGGTCTGTGACCTGCTTCTTGCCAGCCACATGCCCAGGAGACCTGAATCCCTCCCTGAAAGTGTTTTCTTATCCACGAAAGGTGACATTGCTCACCTCAGCATACAAGAACTTGTCAGACTATGAGGTCACCTCTACTTCATCATGGCATTCTAAGCATTAAGGAGGTTTTTAGATGTAAGTTCTAGGGTCTGGGAAGGTGGCTCAGTGGTAGAGCGCTCGCCTTGCATGCCTGAGGCCCTGGGTTCGATTCCTCAGCACCACATAAGCAAAAAGAAAAAAGCCGGAAGTGGCCCTGTGGCTCAAGGGCTAGAGAGCTAGCCTTGAGCTGAAGAGCTGAGGGACGGCGCCCAGGCCCAGAGTTCAGGCCCCACGACCGGACCCCAAAAAAAAAAAAAAAAAAAAGATGTAAGTTCTACAAGGATGCAAAGTATCAAATGAATGCCTACCACTTGCAAAATTGCTAGGCACAGGGGTGTGTGCAGAACTGCTGCAGAGGAATACAAGTGAGGATAAGCTGGGCACATCAGTGCCCAGCCCCCTCCAGTTTGACACCTTTGCTTTTTGACTCTGCCCAGGGACTTTTGTTGGGTTTTTTTTTGGTCAGTCGTGGGGCCTGAACTCTGGGCCTGGGCGCTGTCCCTCAGCTCTTCAGCTCAAGGCTAGCACTCTACCACTTGAGCGTCAGCCCCACTTCCAGCTTTTTCTGTGGTGCTGAGGTATCAAACCCAGGGCCTCATGCATGCAAGGCAAGCACTCTACCACCAAGTCACCTTCCCAGCCCATGCCAGGGACTTTTGTGTTATCAGGCAATCAGGCAAATACTGGTGATCCTCAACCACCTGCCAGTCAACATATGTAAGAGATGTTAATTAAGCACCCTGTGCAGCAGTGTGCCACACTGGCCCTTGGGAAGAGTGGACCCTTTGCCACTGCAGAGGCCAGTACATAATTCGGTCAAAAGCCTCAGGAATGCTCTACAGGGCTAAGGAGACTAGGACATCACCCTGGGGCTGACACATGGGTGTGACAGCCAGCCCTGAAGGGCTCTACTTAGCCTCTGAGCACATGCAGGGGCAGGCCAGGTCAGTCAGCCTGCGGCACACCAGGCCACCATACGCATGTGGAGACGTATCACACCCCAGACCATAAACCAGCCACATAGGTCACCCCCGGGCCTGCACCCCAAGCTTACCTGGTTTTACTGACAGGCCAAGTGGAGGCGACGACGGGGTGAGTGGTTTTCATGGGGTAGGTGAGGTCGGAGAATGGTGGAGGGGGAGGTGAACGGAGGTCATTGCCTGTCGCCCTCCGCAAGGTGCTGGCCTGCAGTTATTGACATAAATAAAAACTTGGTGGTCTAAAAAAAGGTTTCCATGAGTGAAGGTGGAAAAAATAAATAAATAAAATAAAAGAGCTCAGAAGGAAGGATGAGGGGACAGAAGAAAAAAATGGGGGGAGGGAGTGGAAGGAGGGGATGGCAGGAGAAGAATCAGAAGTGTTATTGGTTAGAAGCAAAAAGGGCAAAGGAGGGCTCTTAAACCAAAGTCTTAGCGCCACTACCCAATTCTCCCCAGCTCCCAGCAAGCAGAGGAGCCCTCGCCCCAAGCCTCTGCCCCAGAGTCCTGTAGGGCCAACTCCTGCCTGCCCCTGCCATGGGTGGCCTGGTGCTGGACTCTGTGCCTGAGGCTCAATGACAAGCCTCTGCTACAGCCCAAGAGAGACTGCTCCCAGCCCAGATTCTATAGCCCAAGTGAGTCTATAGAAAAACCTCTACCTTCACCCCAAGCCCTTTCATCATTTGCAAATTGCTAGGGAGGTCAATGGCCCTTTGCTCTTCCTAACGAGGCCATCAAGGCCCTCTGCCACTCCCGACTCCCCAACTGCCAGCAGCCCTATTGGGCATGAGGCCCTCCAGCCATGAGACCACACACCCACCTTCTTGGCAGATAGGGCCAGCTTTTTGGCTGGTGGAGGAGACATGAGGCTTGTGGGCTCCGTGGCAGTACTGCCCAGGGCCGGGGACTTCAGCTTTGCTGCCTTAGCATCTGCTCCACTAGGCGGCACTTTGGCGTGACCAGCAGAGGGACTGTCTGTTCCCTGAGAATGGCTGAAGCGGGCAGCTCCGCGCTCGGGGGTCTGTGGAGCTGTGGTGGGGCCGCTACTAGTGCAATGCTCTGGGCTGGAGCTGCTGGAAGCTCCCTTCTCTGGGTCCGAGCAGTCTTCTCCTTTTGGCCCATGCCCATTGACTGTGGCCTTGGTTAGGAGCTTTGGTGAGGTAGAGAGGATGGCATCACTGCTGTCCCAGGAGCCCTGCCGCCGGCTCCCAGCTTCACCGGCACCAGATGAGCCCTGAGATATCCGGAGGGATGGAGAAGAGGGCTGCAGAGGCACCAGCTTCTTTGCTTTCTTTCCTGGCTCGTCCAGGAGCGCCGGCATGTGTGTGGGCGTGAGGACGAGTCTGGAGGAGGGGGACCCCAAGGGTGGCTTTGTAGGAACATAACCATTTTGTGACTTCAGGCTTGGCAGAGAGCCATTTCTGGACACAGGCACACCTGTCTCCTCGGGGGCCTGCAGTTTTCGAATTGGCATAGAGTCTTGTCGCTAAAAGACAGCAAGGCAAAAAACAGTCAGAGCTGGGGGTAGGAGTTTGGGGAGTGATGTAGGCAGACAGGCAGGGTGGAATCTGTACAGATCTCAGCAGCAGCAAGGGGAGGGGGGCACAAGAGGACAATGGAGACAAGAGGACAATGGAGACAAAGTGTATGGACGGACACCTGGCAGACAACGTTCTTTTTTGTGGTATATTTCAGGTTAACCTTTTGCGGCATGTTGTAATTTCTTTTGTCCTTTATTGGTGCCTCACACATGCTAAGCACCTGCTGTACCAGTGATCTACATAGTTGTTTTTTTTTTTGGGGGGGGGGGTTGGTTGAGGGGCCTGAACTCTGGGACTGGGCGCTGTCCCTCAGCTCTTCAGCTCAAGGCTAGCGCTCTACCACTTGAGCCACAGCACCACCACTTCTGACTTTTTTCTTTTTGCTTATGTGGTGCTGAGGAATCGAACCCAGGGCCTCATGCATGCAAGGCAAGCGCGCTACCACTGAACCACCCTCCCAGCCCTACATAGTTTTTACTGCAAATATTTTCATAAAATTCTACTTATTCTTATTTTTTTTTTAAAGTGCTAATCCTGGAGCTTGAACTCAGGGCCCAGGCACTGTCCCTTTGCTTTTTTGCTCTAGGCTAACACTCCACCACTTCAGCCTTGCTCCACTTCTAGCTTTTTGGTGATAGTCTCACAGACTTTCTTGCCCAGGCTGGCTTTTAATCATGATCCTCAGATCTCAGCCTGAGTGGCTAGGATTACAGGCATGAGCTACTGTTGCCCAACTCATCTGTGAAATATTTGCATACACAAAGTGGCTCATCTTTGAAAGTAAAAAAACCTTCAATACATTTTCAGCGTATGCGTGTGTGTTTATATATATTTTATAATGACAACTTCCATGGTGCACAAAATGGTCTTCAAGGGTGTCTATGGAGCTGTGTGCCCTGGCCACACTGTCCCAGGAGCACCTGGCTCCTTACAGGACCCTTCAGCTTTGCACTTAGATCACATGTGGTAATTCCTACATCCATTCCCATGTTTCTAACTTTAGCCTCTGTTGTTTTCAATGTTGGAAGTGAGAGATGGATTTACACTTCCATAAATGGCTACCACCACAGCAGACCGGCCAGTCCCTGATGCCTGTATGGGGGTTAACTCCCTGGGGAAGGAAGAGATCACTCACAAAGTCATCAAAAAGATCAGTTGACTAAATCATCAGCCGGCTAGGAAAACTGAGTTAACCGGCACAAATTTCAGACACAAAAAGGTAACTTTGATGTATTCTTCATGTTCCTTATGTTTTATCATATAAGCTTTAGCGTACCAGGTGTGTGTGTGTGTGTGTGCATGTTTGGGGGGCCACCTGAGTAAATTGCAAATGTCATTTCTTTTTACTGCCAAGGATGTTCATGACTATCTCCAAAGAACAAAGATATTGTCATATAGCATCACAGGCAAACCACCACACGCAGGACACTGGCGCTGGAGCCAGCTGTTCATGCTTTCAATGCTGGACTGGGGGGAAAGGAGGAGGAGGGAAGTGTCCTCACATGCCTGGGATTCACAGTTCACCAGGGAGCCTATCCAGCACTCCTGGACAGCAGGTGGACCACTGAGCTGATGCACTTGTGTATTCCAGGCCTTCTCCCTGTTCTCCATGGCAACCAGCTCAAGAAATGGTGTGCCATAACACAGGGCCACTACCCCCAAACTCCTCCCAAGGCTCCCACAGGGGCCTCGGAGCCCTGTGATGCCTGGCAGGAATCCAGCCCAGCCGTGTCTCCCCATCAGCAACCACTGTACCTTCACAGCCAGTGGGGAGGAAGCCACTCCATTGCCAGTGCTCTTCTTGGTGTGATCTGGAATGACACTTGGGCGGCTGGGAAGAGCAGAGCCTGCCCTGGAGATGGCACCCTCAGGACTTTTCTTAGAACCTGGAATTCTATCAAGAGCAAAGGAAGAAGTCAGGGGATCTCTGGCTAAGCCCACAGGTGTGGAGAGGAAGGTGAGGAAGTTAACCTAGAGTTAGGGTTATACTTCCATTTCTAGGAAAGCCAGGCAAAAGCACAGAAGCAGCCATGGAATCGCAAATGTCCCAATGGACTTCTCTGAACATTAGCCAGGCCCTTCTACCACCACAAGGCTGGGATGAAAGCCCTGACCAACTGTGCAAGAGCAGGAGGCTAGAGCAGTCAGTTTCCAGATCAGACCCTCAGGCTCCAGTGAACTGAATCCATCACCGTACAGGAGGGCTATGAGCAGCAGCAAAGCTCTCCAGCCAACATGTCCTCCAACCTCCAGTCAGTGGCTGGCAGGAAAGGCGTCTCCTGAAGGAGGTGCTGCAGCCCACCAAGGAGGCAACAGAACACTGCTCCCCACTCATTCACAGCCTCACCGGGGGGGGGGGGGGTGGCAGATGTTCCTGTCTTGTCCTGGCCTCTCTGGGGCTCTGGTTCTTACCCAAGAGCCAGGCAGGCTTGGCTACAGAGCACTTCCCAGTAGACGTGCTTCTCACACATGACTGGGAGACGGCCTGTGCCCGTGTGCTCCTCCAGTCAGGAAAGGCTCGGGGAGACAGCTCCAGAGAGCAGGAGCTCGTCTGGAGGGGGCATAGGGTCCTCACCGCAGGTAGAAGAGCACGTAGGCCTGCTGGTTCAGAACCACCTTGACGTTGCTGGAATGGACCAAGGAGTCGTTCATCTGGTACCACTGTCCGTTGCTTGCCTGAGCAGCACGGGGGAGGTTGCAGGAAATGACAATCAACAGACAGCCCACAATCCTGTTTTCCTTCCTTGCTTCTTTTCCTTTTTGAGACAAGGGCTCACTCTGAAGCCCAAGCTGGGCTCAAACTCTCGATCTTCCTGCGTCAAGCCTCCTGAGTGTTAGGATTCAAACTGTGTACTGCCACATCTGACTAGTCCTCACTTTTATTTTCTTGGGGAATGGGGGGGCGTTATAATTGGGATTTGAACTCAGGGCCTTTGCAAGTCCTCTAACACTCAAGCCACGTTTCCAGGGTATTTTGCTTTTATAAAAAATAAAATCTTGCTTTTTAGTCCAGACTGGCTTAGACCTCTGTTTTCCTATTTATTTACTCTTTCTGAGTAGCTAGGATGACAGGCACATGCCAGAGCCCAGCTCTTTATTATTCAAGATGAAGTCTCTAGAATTTTTTTGCCTTGGCTAGCCTTGAACCATGACCCTTCTGAACTCTGCTTCCTGAGTAGCTAGTAGCCACCACATCCAGATCAGTCTTCACTTTAAAAGGAGAATACAAAATGTACTATTAGTCTTGCTACATATGTCCAGGTGATAATTAGTAGTTCTCTCTGCCAGTGCTCCACATCACTCAGTTCCTTCCTCTGTCACTTCTAAAGAAGACTCAGGCAGGCTGAGGTACCACCTCATCTCCCACCAACATGCAGCCTCCACTAAGATTTCTCCAGGTTGAGGAAGGCAATCGAGGCAGCTGCTTCTTTGGGTTTCCAGGAGTTCTGTGGATTCCAGTGGAATCGCCTTTTAAAGGTGTCTTTTCTTCATTAGACATGAAAGCACACACTAAATATTACCATTTCCCAGGATAAATGGGCAAAGGCCAAGTCTGGCTTTATGACACTTCCAGCTTGCCCAAGAAGGCAGTGCACTGGGCATGCGAGTGCCCATGCAGAGCTGGTAGCACTCACCTTCACGTAGCAGTAGTAGTGCCCAGCGTGGCAACTGTAGCCTGAGTGGACCAGGACGGCGTACAGCCCATACATAACAGGGTCCCCACTATTCTGGGACATATATGGCCGGATGTTCAGGAACTCGGGGTAGCCCACATCCTGTTGGAAAAGTCAGAGAGGTAAACAGTTGTTCAGGAGAGGTTTGCTCTTACTTCTACATCCATCTAAGTAAGAGGTCCACTTGGACTGGGCTTTAACAATGGGGGAACCGGATGCGTGGCAAGGCTACAGCAGGAGGCCCAAGTCACAGATAGAAGCTGAGCAGGCAAATGACGAAGTCTTCCCAGCCAGGCCATGGGAGCTATAAGCTATGGGGAGCTATGAGCCACTGAGAGCTAAGCTATCAGCCCACAGAACAATTTGTGGCCCATTCCTAAATTAATTCTCACAGTAGTTGTTTTACAACTACCAGATGAATGCATTTCCTTTCCCTCTACTCTACAGAAATACTGCTGGGAAGAGGAGGAGGAGGAGAGTGTTGGGGGTGGGGGCAGTTAAGGACGTCAGAAACAGGTGCTAAACCAATTCAGCCAGTTGTCACAGTAACTTTTCAGGGTCTTGTATTTGGTTGTTGGGAGCTCTACCACTTGTCACATGCCCATCCTTCATGCTATAGTTAAACAGGGCATCATATTCATGTGAGCAAAAACACATATGGTCCATCCTAAACACATATGTAATCTGGAGCAAGACACAGAGCCCAGGTGCAGACCCCCATGACAGCCTGTACTCCAATCAAGACAGAAGACCCCAGCTCACCAAGTCCCTCTGTGCCCCCGTCACTGTCCCATCTCAAACATGTTCTGATCTGTCAGCATGTATTCTCTCTGCCATCATAAAGCATGCAATTTGTCTGGATTTTTTTTTTAAATCAGTATCTGTGAGACCTACCTATATTATCTAATTTCTTTTTTTTGGAGGACTGGGATGGGAAGGGAAAGACAAAGTCTCACTATATAGCCCAGGATGGCCTTGAACTCACCACCCTCTTGCCTCAGCACCCTGAGTGCTAGGATTACAAGTATATACCACTATACTTGGCTATCTTTTTTCTTTCTGACAAAATCTCAAAAGCCAATATACATATACATGAGCCTCAATCCAACCTTGCTAGGTAGGAGGCCTCCTAAAAGTCCTCTAGACCATTGTTGAAACACAAGCATAACCACAGATCTCAAGTGAGCTCCAGCACCCACTCAGACTGGCACACTACAACAATGAAGGAAAAAGTTCATGTGCAAGCAACTACTTAGATGATGGTGTTTAGAGATATAAAATGAAACATGGCTTCAAAAAGACTCTGAGAAGGTTTTCAATATTGCTGACACTAAGACAAGTGCCTTGCCCCAAATCACATAATCAGGTCCTAAACAAAAACTGTAGACTTATGAAACATACATATCTAGCAAAATCCGACCATGCAAAAAAGTAGATTTTCACTCCATATTCCACAAAAGGCCACAGCATGCAACTGCACTTGTTTCAGACTGAGGATACTCATGATTAGAGATAAAAAGTGCCAAGGACATTTACTTAGGAAGGCTTGACCTTCCACTTAGGGAACATTCCATGGACAGACAGAGGTTGGGGGATCCAGGACAGTGGTTCTCTTCTTGTTGAGTTGTACTGAGAGCCATTCAGATTCCTGGGCCCTGTGAGGCAAAGTGAAGTTCTCTGGCTCTGGGGCTACCTAGAGCTGTGAGGCACCGTGAGCCACTGAGCAGGCTATATCCTGTGAGCACTCACCTTGGTGATCTTTCCCCCACTGAAGTTGGCAAAGCGCTTGAGGGAAAGGGTGAGGACATTGGATGTCCTATGGATGCTGAAGCGTTTGCTGGCTGGAACCTTCTTCTTGCATCTATAAAGAAATGAATAACAAGGTTCAGGCCACACTTGGAAGAATACTGTTCATTCTGAATGGCTTTGTATTAACAGAACCTGAAAGTGAGGTTGATACCTTCTGTACCCCATCCACATAACCCACAAGTTGCTGCAAGGCAGGAAGGTGAGAACAGGCAGGGGCCTCCAGCAAGAATACTCGGCCTTCCAGGAGACTAGGTAAGAAGTATAAGGAGTACAAAAAGTGTCTTGGGAGTGACACTGGGAAGAAGAAACTGAAGCAGGTGGGGCCCAGCAATCAAGCAGTCAATCAAGCAGTAGGAAATGTATGCAAGCCAAGTCAAAGGACAAGTAGAGAAGAGGGAAGAAAGGGAGACAGAGTGAGTAACTTCCAGACCCAAGGGAAGCAAATTAAAGAGAGACTAAGAAAACAGATTGTGTCTTCAAACAGAACAAGAAACTTGAAAAGGACTAAGAAAATATTCCTCAGCAGTCCCAGCATCACATGGCCTGGTGAGCCAAGCGCCAGCACAGAGTAAGGGGGCAGCTCTGCCTGCTATAGCAGAAAGTTAAACGCGGAAAGCTGAGATCAGCTCTTGCCAAGAGGCAGGGCAGAGGGGTGGCTCTGCACTGAGGCCCAGGGTGAACATCGTCAGGCCTTCAGTTGTGTCTTAGTTATCCATCCTGGACAATGGGCACCACAAGCAATGCACAAGGATGCTTCACAGCAGTGATGAGTACTGGGAGCATGTAGTTGCCACCATGTGTCCTACTGGAAGGCGTGTGTAATACAGGCATGGGGCGTGCGGTTGCCACCATGTGTCCTACTGGAAGGCGTGTGTAATACAGTTATGGCTACACAAGATGTGTTGTTTTTTTTCTGAACTAGTGCTAGGGCCTAAACTCAAGCCTCATCCTCTCATTTGGCTTTTTGGTTAGCAGCTGGTACTCTACCACCTAAGCTACACCTCTATTCTGGCTTTTTGCTGGTTAACTGAAGACAAGTCTCTTGGGTTTTTCTGCCTGGGCTGGCTTTGAACAGAAATCCTCAGATCTCAGCCTCCTGAGTACCAAGTACCACAACTAAAGCTGTGAGCCACCGGAACCTGGCTTTCCTCCCGCAATACTGAGGGAGGTGTGGACCCAGATACCTGTACCTTGTAAGGCAAGTTCTCTACTACCTGAGCCAAATCCCCCAGCTCTTTCTGTGTTTCTTGGTTGAGGGGCTTGAACTCAGGGTCTGGGCACTGTCCCTGAGCGTTTTCAGTCAAGGCTAGCACTCTACCACTTTGAGCCACAGTGCCACTTCTAGTTTTCTGGAGATAAAGTCTCTTGGACTTTCCTGCCCAAGCTGGCTTTGGGAACCATGATCCTCAGATCTCAGCCTCCTGAGTAGCTAGAATTTCAGGTATGAGCTACTGATGCACTGTGCTTGTTATCTTTGACCTGGGGTCTCGCTTTCTGCTTGGCTGGCTTGGATGGTGATCCTATTTCAGGCCTCCCACAGTAGATGAGATGACAGTGGGTACCACGCAGCAAGCTACTGATTGACAGGGTTCTTGTGGACTTTTCTGCCTGGGCTGGCCTTAAGTTGCAAGTATTCCTATCTCAGCATCCCAAGTACTAGGAATACAGGCATGAACCACCAGCACCAGGCACACAGCATTATGGACACTCCTTTTTTTGTCATTAACGAAGTAAAACTTACTTAGCACACATATAGGCGTTTTCTCCACTCAGGACATCTGGTTTCACAAAAAGTTCCAGAGCACGCACAATATTTGCAGCTTGCTGAGAAGGACAAAAACCGAACAGGATAAACCGCAAAAGAAAAAGGCTGACTTGATGAATGCCAAATTTAAGGTCTTTTTCAGGCTGAGACAGCAAGTCACAAACCTTGACTTGCATAAAAACTGGCTCACTAGCTGCCACCTCCCCAAACTCTGAATAGGTACTGCAAGGAGCAGGGAGCCAGACTGTGCCCCATCGCAAGTGGGCGGCACAGAAGCCTTGTGAGGTCTGTCATATGCAGACCGTAGTTGGAGTTGCTCAGAAGCTCAGGGGTTCCAGCAAGGTCAAGACGAGCTCTCAAAAAGCCAGCCAGGAAAGGGGCCACCATGCTGTGAAGGCCACAGAGTTGCAGGGTGGCACTCTAGTACATTAGATGTTTTTCCAGCTCTGCCTGACAGTGCTGGGACCATTCTGCCTCAGGACACAAACTCAGAGTTTGACCTAGGAAGATATAAAATGAGGTTTCTACTGCAACCATCTAAAAAAAGTAGAATCCCAAGCACTTCCTATCTGCACCCATTTTGATGACAGTTCCCGGCCTCTCTCCAGATGTCCACAAGGGCAGACCCCTGTGTGTACCCGGATCTCCAGCGCTATGTCCAGGTAGGGGTCGTAGGTGTCGGAGACGCTCTTGCACATGGAACATTTCACTGCAATAGAAGAAGAGGCAGTGTGTGGGTGGGGTCCATGAGAGGACAACCAGATCCCAACACCCACCACTGGAGGTCTAGAACTCAACCCAGCTCCTGACAGAAGACTGTCTCTCCAGGCTGACTCAGGGTGGAAAAGCTACCAAGGAGGTGCTGGCCCCACCCACAGGCCTTGCTTGTCACTGGCTGCCTATCAGGCCTGCAGAGGGGGATGAAAGAGGGACTGGGAGAGCTTGTGAGGAAGACTCCCATACACATAACTGTGCTTCAAGGTTCCTGACAGGGCTTTGCTACAACCGGGCAAGACTGGCAGGTGGGAAACCAAGACCTGATCACCAGGCCATGCCAGGAGCATATTAAGGGTCTTTATGAAGGTCCTGACCTCCAGGACAGGATGAACAAAATGTCCCCACTCACCTCGGGACCTGAGATAGCCTCCGAAGATCTGATGCACCAGAGTGGTAGCCTGAGTTTGCCGATCCAACCTGAAAGCAGGGCACACAAAACAGGACTTGTACTGAGCTTCCATTCTCCACTCACTGGCCGGCTGTGGCACTATCCCCCAACTCCCATCCTCCTACCTGAATCTCATGGGCAGGCCCACAGTGCCCAGAACCTCTCAAGAGTCCCCTACTGCTAAGCTCCTGCCCTACGGCCCACTGTTCAAACCTACACAACTTAGGAGGCAACTTGGCCATGAATTCCAGAAGACAGGTACTGAACAGTGCTGGCCTGGACCAGGGTGGGGTGCATGGGGCCCTCAGCCTGTAGGCTCACATCTGATCTTCGGTGGGTTATTCCACCGAGGAGCAGCCAAGCCTGAGATTGGGGTGGGACAGGGCCCTGAAACCAACTTTGAACCATCTCCGCCCTACCTCACTCCACTTATTACTAATCTGGGGCAACAACTAAGGCCAACCTACTCCTGTGCCCCCAGAGTTGAGTGCACATGCCCCACATGTGGCACGCATCCTGCATGCTCTGGACAACCCTAGCCCTCTGGTGTGCTCCACTCACTCCTCCACAACCATCTTCCTTGGCACTTAAGGGTGCAATCCATGCTGCCAGCTGCTTCCTGACCCCTCACAAGTGCCACATCTGGCCAGGCATTGTGTGGCACAGCTCCCAGGGCATGGTCCAATGCCAAGCCTTGCCACTGAAACTCCACCCCAAAAGACATGCACCAGGCCTGTAGTCAACGCAACACTTCCCAGGAAGCTCAGGAGACAACCTGGGACCAAAGGCTTATTTTCGCAAAGTTGGGAAATGAAAAACCAACAGTCACCATCTATAGTCATCACAGTTCACCCAGGGAAGGGATATCTAACTCTCTAAAGTAGCCAGGCCATCATCTCAGTGAGAAGCAGGAGCGAGAAGCAGAGCAGCCCCAGTGGCTAGTACTCAACCCCTTGCCCCACCCTTACAAGGGGCTAGGTGCCAACAGTACCACCACAAATGCCCACTGGCCTGTGGGAAGGGAACTGCCAGCTGGGGCAGGCCCAGGGCCTGGGGGCAGTTCCCAAAGGCCCTGGCTGTGCGAGTAAGAGGATAAAAGAGCAGGTAAACAAGCATCCTTGCAACTGGGTAGGGAAGGGCAAAAGGAGAACATTTAGGGTTCTAAAAAAGCCAAATAAACTATCAGAGCTGTTGCCCCTTCTGTCACCTAGAAAAAACATTTATTTGAGAAGGTTCACCTCATAGGCTGAGGATCCTGAAACTTACCAGACCTACCAGTCAAAGGCAGCTCAAATCACAGAAAGGTGACATAGAAAATGGCATGTATTGCCACCTTGTTTCTTATCTAGAAACCAAGCACACCACTGATGCATAATACCCAGTCAAGAAGCCAGGGCAGAAAAAAACAGTGACACAAAGTCCACACTGGGTTAGACTTCCTCCAACATTTGCACACTAGAAAACCACACTCACAAAAACAGAAAAAGAAAACCAGTCTGGGACTAGGAGGGGTGGGCTCATGGTTGCAATTCCAGTGACTTGGGAAACAAGTTAGAAGGGAGCAAAAATTAGCAAGGGGATGGGAAGGTGGCTCCATGGTAGAGTGCTTGCTCAGCATGCATGAGGCCCTGGGTTCAATTCCTTGGCACCACATAAGCAGAAAAAAGCTGGAAGTGGAGCTGTGGCTCAAGTGGTAGAGCACTCGCCTTGAGCTGAAGAGCTGAGGGACAGTGCCCAGGCCCAGAGTTCAGGCCCCACGACCAACCAAAAAAAAAAGTTACCAAGATCTCCATCTTGACCAGTAATTCATACCTATAATGCCAGCTATACTGGAGGCATAGCTTACTTATAAAAAGATCAAGGTGCAAGCATAGCCCAGGCAAAGGCTGGAGACCATACCTGAAAACTGGGGGTATTTGAGGGCTGCTCAAGAGGTACAAAACCTGCCTAGTAAGCCTTGAGCTCAAACCCCTGTAAGATAAAATACAATAAAATAATAGAAGGAATATACTAAAAGGAAGAGTTAAGTGAACTCTGGAAAGAAACTGAACACCTCAGTCCCTTCAGAGATGGATACTGCAAGGCAGGTGTTGGTAGCTGATGCCTGTAATCCTAGCCACTCAGGAGGCTAAGATCTGAGGATTGTGGTTCAAAGCCAGTCTGGGCAGAAAAGTCCCCATGAGACTCCCATCTCCACTTAACCACAGTGGTGTTGTGACTCAAGTGGTAGAATGCTAGCCCTGAGCACAAAGAGGCTCAGGGACAGTGCCCAGGCTGAGTTCAAGCCACATAACCAACAACAAAGAGAAAGAGAAAAGTGGGGGTAGGGAGAAACTGCATAAAGCTCAAGACAGAACAGATCCCAGGCAAACTCAACATGGGGCACTTAAAATAGGAAACTACCAGGAAATAAAATTTTAGTAATGACAGCTGTCTGAGAGAAAGAAACTCAGAGAAAAAAGCTATTACTAGAACTCCCAAAAAAGTAAAATGTGGGGCTGGGAAGGTGGCTCAGTGGTAGAGTGCTTGCCTTGCATGCACAAGACCCTGGGTTCAATTCCTCAGCACTACATAAGCAAAAAGAAAAAAGCCAGAAGTGGTGCTGTGGCTCACGTGGTAGAGCACTAGCCTTGAGCTGAAGAGCTGAGGGACAGCGCCCAGGCCCAGAGTTCAGGCCCCACGACTGGACCCCCCCCCACCAAAAAAGTAAAATGCATCAACTAGAAGAAACCAGACACCAGTGTCTCCTAGCTACTCAGGATGCTGAGATCTGAGGCTCTATCTGCATTTGATATCAGCCTGGTAGACAAATCCAAGAGACTCTTACACCAATTAGCCAGCAAAATGCAGATTAGAGATGTAGCTCAAGTGGTAGAGAAGTAGCTGTGAGCAAAAAAAAAAGTCCACAAAACCAAAACAAACAGAAAACCCAACCTGAGATTTGATGTCCCACAGGAAGCTCTGTTTCCTGGCAACGGGTACCTTAGGGTTGTCTCACAGGGGCAATGTGACACCTATCCAAGGCTGGCTTTCTGTGGTGCTGCAGCTCTAAACCACTGGTATTCACAACGGCACAATCCAGAAGATACAGCAGGTGGCATGATATGACTCTTGTTGAAGGTAGGTCCTGAGGCTGAAAAACTGTTCTCTCCCTGGCTCCATCCAAGTAGTGGGTGCCAGGCTCAACCAACTCCTACAACCCCATCTTCTGTATCAAAATAAGCAGTCTGTGATCCTGTAATCCTAGCTACTCAGGAGGCTGAGATCTGAGGATTGAGGTTCAAAGTCAGCTCAGGCAGACAAGTCTGTAAGACTCTTATCTCCAATTAACTACCAGAAAACCGTAAGTGGTGCTGTGGCTTAAAGTGGTAGAGCTCTAGCCTTGAACAAAAAAAGCTCAGAGACAGTGCCCAGGCCCTGAGTTCAAGCCCCAGTCAAACCAGGCACAGTGGTACATACCTGCAATCCCAGGACTTGGGTGGCAGAGGAAAGGGGATTGAGAATTCAAGGCCAACCTGAGCTACACAGCAGGACCCTGTCTTAAAACATCAAATCAAACCAAAACAAAGCAACAGTGATTTCTGAAAAACAAGGGAGTCTAAGGCAACAGCTAACCTTTGCAAAGACATGTGGTAAAACCCTTCTCGTATCTGACTGCCAGGACAGAGCCCCACCACATCTACCTCCGGTACCAGATCCTACCGAGCTGCCTCGGCTAGGTGACACCTTTTTGGGGGCCACTCCTCTTCTGGGAACCCTCCAAGGAGGGTCAGGAGGAGGGCTCAGGGTACCTGCCTCTACCAGCAGTGCCTGCAGCCCCAGGGGAGGGGTGGGGAGGCAAGACACATACTTGGCATAGCCATTCAAGCAGGCCTTCTGCATGGCATCGATGGTGTAGCGCAGAAACTCATGTGCATCCTCTTGGTTCCCAAAGCGAAAATGCCGGGCAATCTCTGAAGGAAGGAGAGAGGGTTAGGAAAGATGACCACCACCTACTTGTAGTCACAGGGGGACAAAGGAAAAGTGTCAGTTGAGGAAACCGAGGGTGGTATAATTATCTACAACTTGGACCATCCATCACAGCCAGTCTCTAAGGCCTAAGGGCTTAGCCGTCAGGTAAGTGATCCACACCTAGAATCACATCTACTCAAGAAGCAGGGTCAAGGGAAAAGAGGATCCTGAGAGCCCAGGAACTTGAGTCAACATAGCGAGACCTCGTCTCAAAAAACAAAAAGAATGCAACACCCACTGGTTTGTTTTCCCAGAGCCAGCCCATAGCCATTTCCTAGTGCTACATAGGCATTAACTTCCTGCCAAGTGACAGGGACACAGCAACAGCTCCTCTGAAGCTCCTGGGCTTTCTTGGAACACAGCAGACCCTTTCAGCTATCCTATCTTGAACACAAAATGGCACTACACCACCTGGCCAAAACATACCTGTTCTCCAAAGCAGGGTGCCCCCCATTCCCCACCAGACAACCTCCACTGGTGGGACACTTGAGCCTGTATCACTAAGCACACATAAGCACTGCTAAGACTCCCAGATGAGCTGTACTGACCCCAGAGAGACAAATCCATTCTTACTTTTCAGGTCTCGGATGAAGGAGATGGGCTTGATGGCATTGCCACTGTTGGCAAAGGCCTGGACGATGTGGTTCTGCATGACACACAGCATACAGAAGCTTCCCTGGTGACCTGCGGCATGGGAGAAGCAGCTATGTGAATATGACAGCTTCGGAGAACAGGCCACTTCCACCCCAAAAGAAGAAAGAGGAACGGAGCAAATGAGGGCCGGTCAGCCTGTGATAGGAGAGCTGGCCCACAGAGACACCTCTCCACCCCACCACAGAGTGTGAGTGGGGGATGCCCTGCTCATGGCCGATGAGGCTGTAGTTCTAATGGTCTTACACCACAGGCCTAGACACATGCAACAAGCTGCTCCAGACACCATGCATGCTACATCTGCGTTATTTACTTACATGAAGACTGAGTCTGGCTTTCAACATGAAGTCCAGAAAAAATATCTATTCCAAAGTTCTAGCACATAATCAATGGCTGCAAGATTTCAGGGCTTCCTGACGTTACTTAGTTTGCTCTCAAACATTCTGCTCAGCTACACCCAGTAAATAACCTCTCTGCAACTTATCAGGGGCCAGAAACCCCCTGAAGACCTGGACAGCAAACATTTTAGCTCTGTACAAGTCTGCCACCACCATGTACCTCTGCCACAGGTGCACGAGAAGTACAATGTGGACATAGGTGTGTTCGGCCAGCTTGATCCACAAACACAGGCCATGGCCACTGTAGCCAGTAGCCCCTTCACAGCCTTAGAGCAGCCTGGATGTATACTGACCTTTAAAACTGTGACACAGTACAAATAGAAAGAGATGTACAAAGACTACGACACAGCCTTGCTCTACCCTTTCAAGTGTCTGGAGATAGCTGTACCCCTACAATCCATTCTCCAATTCCTTCAAACCAAGGCAACTTTTGCCCTAAACAGGACATTACTGTTCCCCAACACACATGCATTGTATTTCTATACCGTGGGGATCCACAGCCAGAAACTGGCCTTGTGGTTATGTAAGCTTTCATATTAACTGTACTATGAGGTCAAGTACTGGGTACTTTGGCAACTCGCATTCTTAAAAAATCCAGCATGGGCTGGACATCAGTGGCTCACACCTGTAGCTGAGATCTGAGGATCGTGGTTCAAAGCCAGCCTGGGAAGGAAAGTCCATGAGCCCCTTATTTCCAATTAACTGCCAACAGGCCAAAAAACAGAGCTGTAGCTCACAAAAGCTCAGGGACAGCACCCAGACGCTGAGTTCAAGCCCCGGGACTAAAATCAATCAATAAATAATAAAAAATCCAGGTTGTCCTGACAAGCTGGGTTCCTAAAAGCCCTGCAGGCACAGGACTTCATGCGTGAACATATCGGTCTGTTCTCACCTGTGCCAGCCACTGCAGCCCAGCCCTGACACCGCATACGGCATGGCATGGTCTTCAAGGGACACACAGATCTATTCACGTAATCACATTTACATACAAGGGATGCTCTCACTTTTCATTATAGACTTTGTCCCACTTTTTTTGTTGTTGTTGGTCATGGGGCCTGAACTCTGGGCCTGGACGCTGTCCCTCAGCTCTTCAGCTCAAGGCTAGCGTTCTACCACTTGAGCCACAGCATCATTTCTGGCTTTTTCTGCGAATGTAGTGCTGAGGAATTGAACCCAGGGCCTCAAGCACTCTACCACTGAGCTACCTTCCCAATCCTTTGTCCCACTTTTCTAACCATATGTGTTAATTTTTAGGTGACAATAAAGTTTGTAGGACTAAAAAATTATGATTTGATATTTAAAACAACAACAAAAAATCACACTTTTTTTTTTGGTCAGTTGTGGGCTTGAACTCTTAGCCTGGACACTGTCCCCCTCAGCTCTTCACCCAAGGCTAGTGCTCTACCACTTGAGCCAGAGCTACTTCTGGTTTTCTGATGGTTTATTGGAGATAGAGTCTCACGGACTTTCCTTCCCGGGCTGGCTTTGAACCTTCATCCTCAGATCTCAGCCTCCTGAGTAGCTAAGATTACATGCATGAGCAACTGGCACCCAGCAACAAAAACAAAAAAGCTTTTTTTCCTTTCAGATCCACTGAAGATGTGGCTGTGATGCGTCTACAAAGTGCCGCTGACCCCACCCGACACAACTGCTCCCAAATAGGGCAGAAACACCAGGACTTCCAACATTCATGCCCACAAGATCAGCACACTTTTCATGTAATTTACAAAAAGGAAACTGAAGCCAAGATCTTTGTCCATTGCTACTGAAGTTTGGGAAGCGATGTATTTAACTCAGGCTCCTGCAGGGTTTATTTCCAGCTGACAGCTGGCCAGGGCAGTGTGTTGGTGACAGGGCTATGACGCAGCCTAGTTCAGGTGCTGGAGCAACACAGGGAGGGAAGCGTATCTCCACCCATGTGCTGGTTGCTCAGAGCCAGAGGGACACTGGAAGAAATGGGAAGAGCTGAGTGTGGCAGTGTACATCTATAATCCTATCTGCTAGGGAGACAGACAAGTTTGGGGCTAGACTGTGCAAGACTGTCTCCAAAACAAAAACAAAAGCAAGGCAAAAAAACAGGAGCGGAGTTACAGAGCTTTCCTAGCATGCACAAAACCCTAAGCTCTACCCAGCACCACAAAAACAAAGAATTTATGTTATTTCCTGGATTTGCTTCTTCATCAAATGGGTTATTGAGATGTCCTCACAGCTGAACTCAGGTCTGCAATGCTGACTACTGATGTTCTGGGACTGGACTTAATCGCGTCCGGTCTATGAACAGCCTCTAGAGTTGCTTACTGGCGCCTGCTGAGAAGACAATTTTATATACTGCCAGATCTTGCCTATGCAACAGCTAGGTACTGGATTTCATAAAGGTTAAAGCTTCAAGCTAGTGGCACAGAAAAAAATCTGACCCCCCCCCACCGGAATGTTTTACCTTTCAAATCTGTTACAACTCACAGGTATACAACAGTTGCCAGCACGGTTTTTCTGATTTCTCTCTGGCAGCTGCAAAGCCAGAGCACATCATGTCACCCTGTGCATCTGCCAGCTTGGGTTTCTTTTGTGCAGCTCTTGCTCAGAATTTTAGCTAGTTTTTTAACAGGTACAATTCTCAATACCAGTGCTTGGTCTTTGTGCCCCAAGTCTTGTCTACCAGCCTGCATTTAAGTCTTTTCAGTGTTTCTGATCATTTTTTTTTTTTGGGGTCCGGTTATGGGGTCTGAATTCTGCGCCTGGGCACTGTCCCTCAGCTCTTCAGCTCAAGGCTAGCGCTCTGCCACTTGAGCCACAGCACCACTTCCAGCTTTTTTCTTTTTGCTTATGCAGTGCTGAGGAATTGAACCCAGGGCCTCATGCATGCAAGGCAAGCGCTCTACCACTGAGCCACCTTCCCAGCCCCTCTGATCACTTTTGATGTCTGAAACTTTAATGCAGCTGAACTGACCAACTTTTCTTCTTCTAAGGTTAAGACAAGTTTTTCATCTTTTTTAAAGTTAGGTCCTTCCACATGTAAAAATCAAGTTTTTGTTTTGGTTCTTTACTAAACAATCGCTATCTATGTGAAAAAACCTGGAGCTGCAATGCACTTCCACATGCACATGGCTCTGTACTCATGTCAGCACATCTGTCCTTGAGCTAACATGGTGGCATTCTGACTTCATAACTATACAGGAAGTCTCCAGCTGGTGGAGCACATCTCCGCTCAGCCCTCTTCTTTGCAAAGTGTGTTTTGGGTTTGGTCCTTTGATTTTCGATATAAAGTTTGGAATCACATGAACCTGCTCCAATCTGCACATGAGTTTGGGGAGGAACAACTCTCAGCTTCCCTCTGTGAGCAGCTGGGCCTCAACACACCCAGCCCCAACCTTCTTACCAATGAGGAAGTAACTTTACTCCTTCAGTTTGCTGCACACCACCCTGTGAAATCTGAGTCTAGATACTTGAGTGTTTGTGTTGATTCTCTAAAGAGAGCAAGCGCCTTTTACAAATACATGTTCAAACATTGGATCTTGCCATTCCATCTGCTAATTTTCCAACTTGTCTCCATATTCTTTTGGTTTCCTATGCAGGAATATTGTTCTTAAAGCAAAGCACCATGTTTTGTTTTATTGTCAGACAAGACTTGGACGTAGGACCTGGGTACTGTCCCTGAGCTTTTCTGCTCAGGGCTAACATTCTATGACTTTGAGCTAAAGCTGCACTTCTAGTTCTGTGGTGGTTAATTGGAGTTAAGAGTCTAACATACTTTGCTGCCTGGACTAGCTTCAAACCTCTATCCTCAGATCTCAGCCTCATGATTACAAGCATGAGCCACCAGCACTTGCTAGCATGGTAGTTTTATTCCCTGTCCCTCTGCAACCCCACATTCTTGAGTGAATTGGCAGGCAGCCACCAGGCTTCAGTGCCCCCAAAGCCTTGGCTTCCAACACTGTCTCACTGGGATGCTGCCTTGATGCTTGCTGTGGTTTCAGCAGATGTCCTTATTGGGTGAAGGAAATGTGCTTCTATCACTACTCTGCTTTGGTTTTATTTGTGCCAGTTTTGGGCTTGAACTCAGGGCCTGAGGGCTGGTCCCTTAGCTTCTTTGATCAAGGCTAATACTCTACCACCTGAGTCACATTTCCATCTCTAGCTTTTTGCTGATTAATTGGCGATGAGTCTCTTGGGTTTGGCTGGCTTTGAAATGGGATCCTCTTGAACAGCAAGAATTACAGGCATGAGCAATAAGCGCTCACTTTTCTTCAGTTTCTGACTTCATATTTTATAATTTCTACTTTGGACCATGTTTTATAATGTATGTCCAACACTGGCCTAATTGATAAACAAAAGAGCTAGAAGATTTTGTGGCGATATCTTTAAAAAACACTCCCTTCTGTCTGGGCAATTATTTTAGAAAAGTGTGGTGCACATGACCCTGAGTGGTCCCATGCAGTGCCAATCTGCATCTGCACCAAGTAAACATGATCCAGGTAAAATGGAAATGCCCAGCACAGTGTGTATCTACTAGAAGACTGTCTGGTTCAGTTGTTCCAACTCATGGTATCTCCCGCCCCTCAGCCGCAAGCCCCACTCACAGCTCACACCTGCTCCCTTCAGCTGCAAGTCCCACTCACACATCTCCCACCCGCCAAGCCGCAAGCCTCACTCACAGCTCCGCGCATGCTCTTTGGAGAGCAGGTAGTTGGCCAGAGGCGGTGTGTAGGTCAAACACTGAATGGTGGAGTTGAGGAAGCAGGTGTTGCCCAGGTTGTGCAGCCCTGCACCAACACGGAAGATGCGTTCCCACCGGAGGGACAGCTGCTCTGTGGGGAAGAGCACTTTCTGGGGGGCCGGGACTCCATCCCCTCCAGATGCACGCTCGCTGCCTGAGGAAGAGAAGAGTGCAGAAAGAGAAAGTCTGAACACACACAGACACTCCTTGCTGGGTATCTACTCAGAAGACAGCATTGGGCAGTAACTGGCGTGCCAATGGACTGGAGGTTGCTAGAAAGGCCAAGAATAAATTGTGTCTTGTCACTCATTTCAGACTGCTTAGGTCTTGAATTCTAGAGTCCTAACCCCCGCACCTCCTGGATGAGAGGAAGAAGTGGGTCCTAGCCAGCCCATGTCTATTTCCAAGCCTCTCTTGTGATCCTGTTAAACCTGAGGACTTGAGGTATGGCAGCTTCCAAGCAATGGCCAGCACACAGCCACTGTTGCTACCACCCCACATCATGACATCTACAAGGCCCAAAGACCCCATGGGAAGCATCAAGGCCCTGTCATTCAGCCACTGCTGCCATTGATCCTGGTCTGCCCACCCACTCAACACACAGCAAGGCCCTTCTTCAAGCACTTTCCCTTCTGGTACCCTGCTTCCTGGCCTGTAGCTCATCTCCACTCTTGTGCCGACCAGTCCCTTCTGCCCTGGGGTTCAGCAGCACATATTTGCTCTTCAAGGACTCCAGCTGGTAGGAGAAGCTCTTGCTGGCCGGCTCAAACTCAATCCTCTGTAAAAGGACTTTCTTGGCAGAGGTGGCCAGCAGCTTGCCCAGGTCTCCATCCTCAGCTGAGTCCTTGCGGCCAGGCTTCAGGGCCTCCTTCAGCTTATCGACGATTGGCATGGTGCATCCCTGTGGAAAGAACAGGACAACACTAAGTTCCGGGAACAAGCTTGGCCACTGTGGATGGTGGCCACTAGTACAACGACCCTTACAGGGACATGCAGAGAGGGAGGCACTCAGGTCCTGTGTAGTTCACATTTCCCTCTCCAAAAGACCACAGACACCAACCAACAGTAAAAGGGCATAGGAACAGATCTGGCCTTCCCACAGTGTGAACATGGCACCTGGTGCTACCTCCTCCAGAAGGATAGTATGTGGTCTCAATGTCTGCTTACAGAGAACAATTAATTCACTCAGGTTACTCACACACACAGCCATGCAATGAAGACCTGGGTATGGTGATACAAGCCTATAATAATCCCAGCTATTTGAGGCCCTTACTAGGAGGCTAGCCAAGCAAAAAGTGAGGACCCTTCCCCCATTCAAACAAATAATCCAGGCACAGTGTCATATTCTATAGGTATGAGGACTGCCACAGGTAGGATGACTGTGGTTCAAGGCTAGCACCAGGCAAAAACACAAGAGCCTATCTGTCAAGTGTAGAGCAACTGCCTAGCAAGGCCAAATCTCAGTACTGAAGAAAAAAAAAAAAAAAGGAAACATCTTAATATTTGGATTGGTTACATGCATAAATCATAATATTTCACATATATATTTGGGTTAAATAAATTATAAAAATGAATTTTTCCATTTTCTTTGCTTTTCTTTTTTTGGGTCCAGTCGTGAGGCCTGAACTCTGGGCCTGGGCACTGTCCCTCAGCTCTTCAGCTCAAGGCTAGAGCTCTACCACTTGAGCCACAGCGCCACTACTGGCTTTTTTCTTTTTGCTTATGTGGTGCTGAGGAATGGAACCCAGTGTTTCATGCATGCAAAGCAAGCACTCTACCACTTAGTCACCTTCCTAGCCCCTCCATTTGTTTTTCTAATGTAGCTGCCATTCATTTTTAAATTATATTGGCTCATTATATTTTTATTTTCTTTTTTTTTGTTGGTCATGGGGCTTGAATTCTAGGCCTAGGCACTTTCCCTGAGCTCTTCAGCTCAATGCTAGTGATTCACCACTTGAGCCACAGCGCCACTTCTGGGTTTTCTGGTGGTTAATTGGAGATAAAAGAGTCTCACAGACTTTCCTGCCTGGGCTGGCTTTGAACCACGATCCTTTGAACCACAGCCTCCTGAGTAGCTAGGATTACAGGCATGAGCTACCGGCACCCACCTGGCTCATTTTATTTCTATGGAAAATGTATATGCCTATTATCTCTAAGAGTGAGAAGAAAAAGAGAAAAGAAATAGGCCTGGAGAAGAGTTGAGTACAAGGCAGGTCTTGCCAACACTTCTCAAGAAAAGCTAGGGGACAGGTAGGGACCAGGCCTTGGAAAGTGGCAGACTTGGGGGTTTCTACCACCTTTAGCCACAGATCTGGGGATAAGGTGGATTGTAAAATAGGAACAAAGATAGTGGAAAGTAGCTGCAGGGATGGTGAGATGGCTGGTTACGTGGCGTTCCTAACAGAGGAGGGCAGATACTGCACAGAAACTGGAAGACAGGCTACTACCATCACCTGACTGCCACCCCTACATGCATCACTAGTCTGCCCACCCTCTCAAGCATCAAAAGTCAAAGCTTTCATTATTTGGGTCACAACTAGAAAATATGTCCCCAAAGTGCCCATTCATATCAGATGTGATGACTCAGAAAACCTGGATGTAATACCCAGACTTCCCTGGAGAATCAGCTCATCAAAACTCCACTCCAGGTGACACTGATCAAGACACACTGTACTCATTACCTGACTTAGGGGACTGTAACCTCTTTGTACAATCACTTAGTAATTAAAAAAAAAAAAAAAAACCCACTAACCTCCACTCTAGTGGAAGAAGGAACACTCCCGTCAGCTCTAAGTCACTCAAATAGGTCATTACAGATCATCTAATTTCATATATAGATCACTTATATGTAAGTACATCTATAAAGAATAGGTGTGCAAGAAACTCTAGTACCAGTTCTCTAGGGTGAGGAAATCTATTACCCAGCCTCTGCTTACATCTTAACTAAGACAATCTCACCAACAATAATCACTGCTGTCTCAGGTAGGAAGAGACCTGGGCCACTCACCTGGATGAGTGACCCTGGCTGCTACTTCCCTAGCCAGCAGGGAGTCAGGTTGCGAAGGGTAAGTTCTGGTGGGGCAGGTGATCTGTCTGCTGGACCTTGGCCTTGTCAGTCACCAGCACTGCCAAGTGTAGTATCCAGAATGGTTGTCAACACCTATGGGATGAGCAGGAAGACATCACCAAAGCCAACTCTTCACTTGTCTTCCCATGGATTTCGTGTGGGAAGAAGGTGACCTTCCACTAGGAAACAGTCATCAATCAGGTTAAAGGGAGCCAGGTGTGAACAAAAGGTAATTTTTTTTTAAGTGGTGGCAGAAAAGACCAGCCTCCCTTTTAACAGCTGCACCTGAAATCTTAAGCGCTAACCTAAAACTCATCTCTGATGTGTGAGGACCAAGGAAAAAAAAAAAATGTTCTTGCCCAGCAAGCTCTCTGCTGTGCACGATTAACGCATACACGGGGGGGGGGGGGGGCCGCAGGACGGTGTCTGCAGGTGGGAATTCTTAGGAAATCTGGCATCAGTTCGGGAACAACTTACAGCTCTACCAACAAGCATCTCTAGCCCCCAAAGTACTCAAGCACAGCTACCTTTCAAACCAACACCCTCGGCACCCTTTCTGTCTCTTCCCGCACGCCGACAGCCCAGCACGTGCTGAAGACCGGGAGTCCCAGACAGGAGAGGCCGGAGGCCCGGGGACGCGGCTGAGCACGCCGGGCTCAACTGTGTGGCCGCGGGGTTATCCGCCCCCCGCCCCGGCGGTCTCTAGTTTGAGGGTGCACGCAGCTCCCCCGGGGGCCGCGGTGGGCATTCTAAAACCCTCGTCGTCCCCGGCCCGAGCTCGGGCCGGGGCGCCTCGGACCGTGACCACGAGGAAGGCC